CACCTCCGCCTATTTTTTAACAAATATAAACATTTAATTCTGTACTATCATTCACTTCACTAGGAGTTAATATAAATATTACTTTATCCGATTCTCTGAGAAACTTTCATGAATATTTAGAGGAATGTTCAAACTTGAATGTACAGTACGGCCAATTTCATCAACTTTATTAATGGAAAAATATGCAGTAGTTCTGTCTTGCCTTCATAACATTACTTACGACCGTTTTATGGTTGAGTTAACATTGTCGTTCATGATTCTATAGAAGGGGATACCAATGCTGACATTGACAGAAATATCGTTTTGGCTCAAACTTGAATGTACAGTACAGCCAATTTCATCAACTTTATTAATGGAAAAATATCCAGTAGTTCTGTCGTGGCCTTTATAACAATACTTACGACCGTTTTATGGTTGAAATAACATTGTCGTTCATGATTCTATTTTAGAGGGGGATACCAATGCTGACATTGACAGAAATATCGTTTTGCGTTCTTCTTTTACCAGTATCCCAAGGCATAGGCATATCATCTTTATCAGGACGTAATGTTTTTGTACACTGCTTTGTTAATCCGTCATTACTTTCACCTACAACCCTAAATGATATAAAATTATACATTAATTATTTCCTCTCCAGACGACCGCCCAGATTTATTTTGTCACTTTTTCCATCAAAAATTAAAATGTCAACAAGGATTTGCTCTTAATTTTATCAAATACATAATAAATAATCCTCATTATTTTTTAAAAAAATTATCCTAAATTTATATGTCAATAAAAAAAAGTATCTTAAAAAATATATAAATAATTTGCATATAAGTTTCATTAGTGTTTAATGGCATTTTTGTAATTTAAATAGACAGCATTTTTTTTTACTTAACATAAAAAATATATATATCCCTTATCAAATTCTTTGACAAATAATTTCAGAAATGCAAGACATACATTAAATTTATCTGAAAAATAACAATAACCTTATATAATAAACAACATATTTTTTAGTTATAATTTTAATTGATCATATTACAAAAAAGTATAAGAGTCGGTTATTTTTATTTTATTTGTCACGATTCTCTAATAAGTGGTTGCCTTCCCAGTTTCCCTTAATTTGGAATTTACATGTTTTTTTTCCATATTAGACTAATTGGTAAATCAGATATTTCCCGTTCATGTGATGATATTAAAAATTTAACTGTCTCCGAGGCGGGAAAAAATTTTCAAAATTATAATGGGCAGGACTGGGCTTGGAACCTCAAAATTAAAATTAGCTTGCACCTGTCTTGGGAATGTCTTTTACAAATTATTAAGGGCTGAGCTGGGCTTGAAAAACTTTTTTTATAATTATAAGATCTTGGATGCTTCCTAATATTGTGAGCTTGAACCTGGCATGACATCTATCGTAAAAAATAAATAAAAATCTCATTCCCCGTCATTTTTGACGGGCTATCTACTAGTATAATATAATATTAGCAACTAACATTGTCAAAAGGTATTGAAACTAATATAACTCTCTATTACCATTTTAGACAATGTTTTATAGAATGGACTAATAGGAAAAAATTTACAGACCTTATCAAATCAACAATTCTTGAAGAAGAGAATATAAACGACCAATCCAAATCATAAAACTATATGGTGGTTAGAGCTTCCTCTTAGATGACATGATGGAAGCTAGATAAGTAATCGAGAAAATTATTGTATGCTAAAAGATTATCTTCGATTTTTAATGATATATAAACGACTACACAGTTGACCATTATTGCATATCTAAAATATGCGATCATATGCTCTCAGTCGGTGTAGTAATAATCTTAAATTACATAGCCACACAAATAATAGATGCGGGTTAATTTGCAGTCCTAACCATGACATTCACAATGGTAACCCATATCAGAATTTATTCTGTTAGATAAATTGATAAAACAAAAACACTAAAAATCTTTAGAAGAAATTATGACGGCAAAAATGCCATATTAGTAATGAAACATTTTGTAACTACAAAATAAGAACCAGAGTGATATCATGAAAGCAATTAAGATTTTATATATTTTTGTCGCACCATCTCTATTTGGTATATTATATCTTAAAAAATTTAACTCAAATCTATATTCAAGAAGAAAATAGCTTCCTAAAAACACGTAAAAAGGAGAAGAAAAGATATCTAATTTATTACATCCATTGTGGGATAAATAATAATACGTTTTTAATTATATTTTATATTAGTAGATGGCGTTAAATATTTGCAAGAAAATTGTTACTTATATTTATTATCAAAAGCATTTAGTAAAATTTTTAAAATATTAACTGTAATATATTATATAACTGTCATATATGTCTGTTAAAAGTGACATTTTACCTAATATTTTATAAAAGATTATATATAATAGAGAATTATAAACTATATGTCTACCTACTTTTTATAAATAAATCTTTTATACTTATTTGGATTTGGACCTTGAAAATAATTTTAGGAAGAGACATGATAATTAAATTAATTAAATTTAAAAATCAATAATATAGTTGATTAGTTTGAACTCGGCTAAAATATTAAATTATAAATTTTCAATTAATAAATGATTATATTTATTTAATTAGGGTTATATAATAATTTAAATAATAAAAGTCAATTAAGCTTCAACTGTTAATGCTAAATTAATATTTAGTGAGTGATATTGTTATATTTTTAACATAGAATTTGATTGCAAGCTGACATAGTATAATTTATATGTAATAATCTAATCTAATAATTAAAATAATATTCATTTAATAAAAATTAAGATAGTCTTATTAATTTTTTAATAAAATAAAATCTATATATTACTCAATAGAATTATAAAAGAAATCATTGAGAGGGCAATTAAAAACATTTATTTTTAGCTCAAGGGGATATTAAGGAGCCATTAAAAAAAATTTGCTTCAGGGGGCTATTCAAACTTTTCAGGAGGCTTGAGCTCCTGCTCGCCCCCCCCTCCCTAGCGACGCCACTGTTGTTGCATCAAGGGCTCTAATTTTGTGAGAATCTTAAGTAAGTTGGGTTTGGTGACATGGGAATTCTCTATCTTGATATCGACCATCTTAGAAAAGAATTCCATCATCTTGCTTATAATGTTATCCACCTTGTGGTTTAGGTTAGTAAACTTGTCATCAGTAGCCCTTTTATTGCTAACAGCCGCGGTACGTATGTTCTCGAGATCTGACTTTAATTGGGCGCTTTTCTCAGACATAGTGTAGGATCTAGTATTATAAGGCGTCTTTGGCAAATTTATTTCATCAATTTTCTCTGTCCAATCGGAGTGTATATTGGTACCTCGAATTTCTAAGCCGGTAGAGTATTAAAACACAATAGAAAAATAGAAAATAAATTTGAAAAGATAATTGTTCTCTATTGTGTATGCCTTTATATAGGCAAAGGTTTACCAGAATACTTTAAATATCTACATTAATATTAAAGTAGGCAGGGTATGGATAAAATAAATTATATTTTTTATTATTAAATTTCTTTTTATCCCACCATTTTTATATCTATATATACTTTATAAAGTTCAATTTAACAATATGTTTAATAGGTTAATAATAATCATTTAAAACCAAAGTATTAACAAAACTTATTAAGTTAATATAATGTTGTAAAATAATAAAAGTATGGTAATGTTAATTTCTGGGAATTTCCAAATTTAAATCCTTTCACCTTTAATTGAAATAAGATTTCAAATTTTTACTTTTTTATATATATAAATTTTATCCTTAAAATATGAATTGGATTCAACTATTTTCAAAATTTTATCTGTGTGAATTTCATCCCCTTTATTTACATTATGTGTTATATTTGGTTGTTTATATTATTAACATTGTTTTATTTAGCTACTAGAATTTTTTGGATAATATACTTTCATCATGAATTTCACAATTTTATTTATACTAATTTTTCTATCTATAAGATTTTTAAGGTATATTTTCAATTATATTTATTGCCTTAGTTACAATAATAAATAAAAAATATTACTTTTCGGAAGTATGATGTTTTTGTCTTTGTTTGCAACTGGGTTTCAACTCCATTTGTGATATTAAATGGAATATCACATTTTAAGGATACCCAATTATTATTATTTCATTTGATGGCTATCTTTGTAAATTTCATATCAGCTGGCTTGACATGAGGATGTTTATGTTTATAATGTTCATGTATCTTGTCACTTCTTATTTTATAAGTTTTACAATTAATATAATCACATTTCACTTTAAATAAGGTTGTTACTTGGCATCTAGAATGAAATAATTATTAGAATATTACTTTTTACATATTATGTTTTTTATTATTCTTTGCCTGCTGATATATATAAATCTCGAATAATAATTCATAAGACCCAGCCAAGAATGTAATTCATCCTTATTATTAGGTTCAGTCATGGGGTACTTATCGGATAAATCTTTTCTTTGATTGACTGTATCCCTTTGTTATTTATTAAGTAACCTAAATATTTAATACTATCTTTGCTAAATTCACTTTTTTTAATATTTCCAATCAAACCATATTCCAACATTCTTATAAACACTTTTCTTAATTTGTTAAAATGATCTTCTTTATCCTAAACAAAAATTAGCAAATCATCTAAATAATAAATAACGCCGTTAATTTCAGATAAAATTTCGTCCATGGTCTTTTGAAAATTAGCAGTTGATACTGTTAGACCAAAAGGTAACCTGATAAATTGAAAAAGACCCTTGTGGGCAGCGTCTACATGGGGGGGGGGGGGTAGGAGACAAATGCCTCCAAAATATATTAGCATTTTTAAGGGTAGGTATCGATTTTAAGGGGTTGATATTAATTTTTTGGGGGTAGGCATTATTTTTTTGGGGGTAGGTATTGATTTTTGGTGGGTAATTTTTGATTTGAATTATAATCTTTTTTTATTCCATTAATTGATACGATTATGATAGTTATCGTTTGATTTTCTGAAAAATGTCAATTAAAGTAAAGATATTTGTCAATTAATAAATAATATAAATTTTCTTTGTCAACGATTTTCATTTAGCATTTTATCAAGTTAATATTTACACATTTCCTATTTGGTACTTTTCTTAGAGGTTAATATATTTATATTATGTTTTTAAATAAATTTATAGATTTTAGCAGGATAAATTTTAGGTAATTTTTTGAGTCATGCATAAAAACATATATCAGCAAGCAAAGAATAATAAAAAACATAATATGTAAAAAATTATATTATAATAATTATTTCTTTCTAGATGCCAAGTAACAAAACCATATTTAAAGTTAAGTGCAATATTAAAAATTGCAAAACTTCTAAAATAAGAAGTGACAAGATACATGAACATTATAAACATAAACATCCTCATGTCAAGCCAGCTGATATGAAATTTACAAAGGTAGCCATCAAAAGAGATAATAATAATTGGGTATCTTTAAATTGTGATATTCCATATAATATCACAAATGGAGTTGAAACCCAGTTGCAAAAAAAGACAATAACATCTTACTTCCAAAAAGTAATATTTTTATTTATTATTGTAACTATAAATTTGTGAATTAATAGAAACTGATTTAAAATTTTACCAGAATAATATTAATATTAAAGTAGTCAGGGTATAGAGAAAATAAATTATATATATTATTATTTAATGTTTTTTAACTGTTTATCACACTATTTTTATATCTATATATACTTTATAAAGTTCAATTTAACAATATGTTTAATAAGTTAATAATAATAATTTAAAACCAAAGTATTAAAAAAACTTATTAAGTTAATATAATGTAGTAAAATAAGGTAATGTTAATTTCTAGGAATTTTTAAATTTAAATCTTTTCATCTTTAATTGAATTAAGACTTCAAATTCTTTTACTTTTTTTAAATATAAATCTTATAAAATATGATTTGGAATCAACTATTTTCAAAATGTTATCTGTGTGAGTTTCATCCCCTTTATTTACATTATGTGTTATATTAGGTATGTTTATTATCATTGTTTTATTTAGCTATTAGAATTTCTTTAGATAATATACTTTCATCATGAATTTCACAATTTTATTTATACTTAATATTGTTTTTATTTTTATAGTCATTATAATATTGTTTTATGATTTCTTCATGTGATCGCAGTTTTATATTAATCTGCATCTATCATGCCTATGAATCTTTCAAGTATATTTTAAAAATGTTTTTACATGATCTAACAAAGTCATATTGATGTTTATGATTATTGCGTTCAAAATATGTGAATTCCCTTTGTATTCTACATTCACTTGTGCTTTACCTATTACTTGTATCATCTTTCCATTGTAACCTGATAACTTTATGTTGGACTTCATAATATTTTTAATACCTGTTTTCTCAATCATGTATTCATGTAGAATTAAAACATTTATTAAAAACTTAATTATAATGTAGTTAAAAAAAATTATCATTTGCATAAAAATTTATTAAAAATATAGTTATCATAAGGAAAGAAATTAAACTCCTCTTTATTTATAGAAAATCTCAGTTATTGAAGATTCACAAATTGTATTATCTCCTCATCCAATCCCCAGTTCCAGTGAGGTGTTTACTTTGTATGATGAGGTATTTAATTTAAATACGAATTATATGATAACTTTTGAAAGAAATAAATTATGATTATGAGGTTAATTAAATATTTCCAACCTTTATTAAAAACTTAATTATAATGTAGTTAAGAATAAAATGACCATTTGACTAAAATTTTATTAAAAATATAGTTTTTCATAAGTAAACAAATTATGATCTCTATAGCAAATCTCCAATATTAAAGATTCACAAATGGTATTATCTTCTCATCCAATCCCCAGTTCCAGTGAGGCGCTTACTTTGCATGATGAGGTATTTAATTTAAATACGAATTATATGATAACTTTTGAAGAAAATAAATTAGGACATTTAAATATTTCCAACATTTATTGATTAACTTAATTATAATGTAGCTAAGAATAAAATGACCATTTGGCTGAAATTATATTAAAAATAGATTTTCATAAGTAAACAAATTATACTCTTTATTTATAGCAAATCTCCAATATTGAAGATTCACAAAATGTATTATCTCCTCATCCAATCCCCGGTTCTAGTGAGGCACTTACTTTGCATGAGGCATTATATTTAAATAAAATTTATATAATGACTTTTGAAGGGAATAAATTATGAGGATATTCAAAGTCCAAGTCTTATTCAGCTATACAAAAAAAGGAACCAAATGACCCTTTTCACTTTATATTATTTAGGATGACAAATATTTTGATAAATTTCATAATTGCTGTAGGCCCTTGTCAGCCATGTACAAATAAATTTCAATATCCTGTTACTAACAAGAGGTTTTAAATAATATTTATTTTCATTAATTTTTACCCATCCATTATTTCTATACCAATATATTTTTTTTTACTTTTTAAACAGGAGCATGCATGAATATAACCTATTATAGTAAGGTTAATATAGATGGTTCCCTCAACCCCAGAAATTGGCTATCTTATAGCACTACTTTAGACAAAGTCTTTTGTCTATATTGTATTATGTTTGGTGGCCCTAAGTCCAATACTTTTTGGACTCAACATGGGGTAAATAATTGGAAAAACATAAAGCGTGACTTAGAGAGACACGAAGAATCTTCTCTTCATAAAGATTGTGAATATGCAAACATGACTTGGCTTGCAAATAAACGCATTCAAGATCATTTGCTATCAAATAAGCTTGATATAATCATGGAAAATCGTAATATAGTTCATAATATTATCAATGCCATTATGTACCTTATATGTAATATAGCCTTTTGGGGTTCTAATTCGAATGAAGGTAATTTTATGTGTCTCATAAAATTAATGGCAAAAACGATTCCAACTTTACGTGCATACATGGATAACAACGAAAAATTGCGGAGAAAAAAATCAGATAAAATTTCGAGACCTTATATATACTGTCATATGGCCACGTGAAAAAAATAACTGAAATTATTAAGATAAAAATAACAAAAAGCATTATTCAAACAATTAAAGAGAATCGTGACTATAGCATCATGTTAGATGGAACATATGATGTGTCTAAAAAAGAATGCATAGCTTTGTTTGTACGGTATATAGAAGATGATCTGCATCCACATCCTGTAGAAAGGATCATACATGTTTTTACAACATCAGAAACCACTGGGGAAAATATAAAGAAACATGTTTTTTCTAAGTTTAATGATCTTGGTCTTACTCTTGATTATTTGGTTGGACAAAGTATGGATGGTGCAGGGAATATGAGAGGAGTATACAAAGGAATGCAGGCTTTAATATTGAAAGAGGCTCCAAAAGCCATCTATATTTGGTGTCATGCACATCGGCTAAATTTAGTAGTTGCTCATGCTTGTGGATGCAAAATTGAAATGAAAAAGGCAATGGGAATATTAGATGAGTTATAAATTTTATGAATGGAGTTAGACGTCAAGGTGTGTTTGTTAAATATCAAATGAGAAAGTCCAAGAAATCTCTTAAAAGAATTAAAAACACAACAAGGTAAATAAAATATTTTTAATGAAACTTGAAACTTATATATTTTCAGAAATTGGTCATCATCCTACAAATCTGTAGAAATCTTTTTAGATGTTTATGAACATATTTTAGCATCATTAGTTGAATTAAAAGATTCTAATGACCCAAGCACCTCTTCCATTGCCGATGAGTTATTATCAAGAATTAAAGATGAAAATTTTATATTAAGTCTTTTTATTTTGAAAGAAATATTGAAATGTACACATGAGGCTTGTATTGAAATGCAGGCAGTTGGTAATGATTTGGCTTTGGTAACCAAATTAATACAACATACAAATAATAAATTACAAAAACTAAAAGGTTAATATTAGTTACTATTTCTATAAATAATTTTAAAATATAGCTAATGGAGACAATATATTTTTAAAATTACATTCCTTATCTAATAGTTTTTTGAAAAAGAATAATGTAATAACTGATTTGTATAATATGAAATCAATATTCAAATTGGATCAAACAGAATTCAATAATTATGTTGAACAAAAAAAAACAAGTTGAATAAATTAAAAAAATTTAAATTATTATTTATTATTATAGATATAGAACGGAAATATTTTTCCCTGTTCTAAATGCAATAATTAATCACCTAAATGATCGATTTAATTATGATTGTTTAAATTTTTTATCACAGATATCCATTTTTACTCCCGCTGGAATTATGGATAATGAAAAAATAGAAGGATGGCAAATATCCGAAATTTGTAATACTTATCAATTGGATGTCCAAAACATTGTTGATGAATATACTGATTTTCGCTCTTTATATTTGGAGTCTCAATCAATCATTTTTTGCGAAGATCTTTTAAAAGTTAAAAAGAATGACTCGTTATATATTTATGAAAGTAATTTATTGATATTTTTTTGTAATTGTATATAATTAAAGGTATTGAAACGATCAAATTACCAAAGAAAATATCAACAGCGAAATCATGACCAAAATAAAAAAATGGATAAAATTTTCTTTTATATTACCATACCGACTTTTAAATCAATTAAATTCTTATTCAAATTTAAATTTATTATATAAATATTTATTAACCCTTCCTACAACTTCCTGTTCAGCCGAAAGAGCCATGAGTAAAGTAAAAATTAACAAAACTCGAATGCGGAATAAAATTTCGGACCCATTTTTGGAAAATTTACTGTTAATATCCAGCGAAATTGATGTTTTTGAAAAATGTACAATTGATGATATTATAACACAATTTGCTTTGACATCAATAAGGTTATCCAAATTATTAATAAAATAATTAATGTATCTTTTTCACAGCGAATATATAGGCTTTTAAATAATGTATATTTAATTTAACATTTATAATTTCAATGCAAAATATACTATAATTCATTTTATTCTAATATTTTATATAATAGCTCTATTTACAATACATGTTTTTAATTATGTGGAATCAAGCTAAATATACCTCTTTAAATTTATTCGTTTTATATTTTTTACAATATTTTAGATCTTTTTCATAGAAATATTAATATGTTATCTCATTTAATTCACTTATATATATTTTATGAAAATAAAGTGAATACCAAATTATGAAAAGATTGCATTATTTAAATAAAAGTTCATTATCACTTACAAATTTTTAAATTTTTTTTCCCTAAATAGGCTTGAAAGATTGTAAATAAAATTATGTTGTAAGGTTATAAATGGTGGCAGATAAGATTTTTTAAATAAAATCACTATACCATCGTAGGTCTGTAAATTTCGCGGCCGAAGGCCGCAGGATTTTTTTAGGTGGGTATGGGTAGATTTTGGAGGGGTTTGCCTCCATCAAATTTTCTGCCATGTAGACGCTGCTTGTGGGTTGAAACGGTCAAAAATTTGGAAGTTTCTTTAGAAACAGGAATTTGCAAATATGCCGAAGAAAAATCTATTTTCGAGAATATTTTTCCAATTCCTACTTTAGCAATTATGTCACTTATCGTTGGAAGGGGATATTCAAATCTTTCTAATTGTGTACGGTTACTCTAAAATCAGCACAAACTCTCAACGCATTATCTTTCTTTTTAACCAATATCAAAGGAGTGTCCCATTGAGAAAATCTCACAGGGGTTATTATACCCTGATGACGTCATTGCTCAAATGTGACCTCTAATTCTTCTTCTTATTTAAATGGCACTCTCCAAGCCTTCAAAAATATTGGTTTAAAATCATCCTTTAAT